GAACGCGAAGGGTCGTGTAAAGCAAGACGGGTGCCTTTAAATTCTACGAGCAGGAGTCTTCTCGAAGAGGCATGAACTGTCACGCACGACGCACGACGCACGACCCACGACCCACGACTCACGACCCACTACCCACCCAGCCACGCCAATTAGTCAATCTCGTAATAGCTGGCTGAATTTTCCTTGTCTTCGTGAATGAAAATTGTTGTCTCTGTATATATTTCACCGAATTATATTTCTTTTATTGATTTTTAGTAGTCTCTCCCGTTTGTTTTCAGTCGTTCAGGGAACATCGCTTGCAGGAGTACTCAAAATGCCACGCGTATCAAACGCTTTTGAAGATCACACATCGATAAAAGCATGATATAAAAAATAAACATAATAAATTATTGAATATTATGTTGGAGCGTAAATCTATTAATGTTCATTCAAACACTTTACTACAGCTCGCGCTGCAAAAGTGAGAACCGGCTGGCCGTATAGGTGATTTCGGAATTTTTTTTTTAACGGTTTAGCTAAAAGCCCATGCGTGCTTCGATCGTGCTGAATATTGAATGAGTGCAATTTGTATTGCAAAATTGTGAAATACTGCATTCTGTCCGAGGTCTGTATGATAAAAATAGTGCCTCATAGTACTGTTTCACCTCAGACATGATGTATAAGTGGTATAAAATGTTGGTTTATACGCACCCAGATTTGTTGGCAAGATTTTGTAAAGGCCTTATTAATCTTCTACGATGATCAAGAGCTATTATGGCTCTTAAATGTGATCGAAGATGATTGCTATTTTTTGGGTGTACATATGAGGCTATCAACGCAATGTAAGATATGGTTCACTCTGGGCTGTTTGCAAATTATTTAACTCTAAAATCATTTTTAGCCTTTCTCTCAAAAGTCACATGAATGTGCTCTTAAGTTAACTGAATTGTGGAAAACAAGTTTATTTTTTGATTTAAACTATAAATTTATTAATGGAAGCTTCGCTTTTAGCCCTGGCTAAATCTATATATGAATTAGCATTATAGCAACACGCTCTACGTTCAAACAGTTAATTCCAAGAGTCAGCTGAAGAGTCAGCAAAACTGAATTATCTCCTAGTCAAAAAGTAAAAACTAGAGACTTTAATTTTGACATCTCTGTTTTGGTAACTTTCTAAAATTTGAGATGGCATTTCCTTAATTTAAAACACTTTCTGGGGGAAAAGTGGAATGAAGAAAGTACATCCTGTTAACTGCTCTTGGCCACGGTAAATGAACTGGATATGAAAGGTTTACACCCTTAAAAAACCTTAAAGTTTCACTATCGTTAAACAGTGAACTAGTTTCTCATTAGCTTATTTGTAATAATATTTCAGAGTTTTCATAAAGATCAAATTAAACCGACTGTAAATTGATTTAGTTTGAAGCGCGCGTGGTATTGTCGATATTCAGATTGCAATTAGCAAGACAAACACTTGAGCCGCTTGCTCCCTAATCTAGTAGAGCTACAGTAGCATTTTTCTTCAAAGCTTCCGGGGATCTGCCTATACCGTAGCGCAAAAAGAGGTAGTGTCACACCCAAAAGGACGTGAATAAACAACATGCGACAAGCGCATCACCTAACTGCCCCGTAAGGCTGGTTTTCACAACAGGAGGGCACTGCGTGCATCCGCTGAACGGCAATAGCGTGGGCGCATCAAACCTGATGGAGGGAAATCGAAAACTCGCATAAAGGTACAGTCCTTTTAAAAACCATTTCGTTGGTGCTTTGAATACCGTACTTTCCGACAAAAAATATTTTCCATGACAAAAATCGGACGTTTTCTACGTGGGTTTTCACTTGTAGATTTTTCAGCAGTAGGTTTTCTTGGTCTTTTAAAGACTTTCAAGACTCAATGCCAAAAAGTCATGTTCCTGTATAAGTCTGATTTTCACTTGCAAAGCAATGCATTTCTATGGTTTGATTTCCAAACTCGTGGTTTTACTTATCAGGGAGGAAATGCATGGTAGCAATGTTCAGCTGCTTTAAGACTAAAAGCAAAAAAAAATTACCAAGCGAGGTTTATTTATTAGCGCGATGTCTCATGTTAAACTAATCTCGGAGACACGCGTTTATTTATGCCACAAAAACAAGTCTATCGGTTTTTTTTACAGTTTTTCGAAATTTTTCGCGGAAAATTTTATGAAAAATATTCTACTGGAAATGAAGAACAGATTGAGTTTGACACAGCAACAATTGCAAGTGATTATGTACATAATCACTTAAGCATTTCATAAGCTCAGTTGCAGACAAAACGAATGCACACATCCCGAAAAAACGAACAATACTTTTATCTTACTTTAACTCTAAAAGATACAGAGATTTTTTTCAAGCTACTATTTTGAAGCGGCTCTTGAGTAACAGCTCCTGTCTTCCACAATCGATTTCTTGTTATTAATTTATATTTGACGACAGTAGTGATCCATTCAAAACAGGAATGGCTATCACTACCTAAATCTAACTTACGATGTTGTTCACCTTCAAAGCCTGTTTAAACATAAGACAGGAAGTTTGTTAAAGGGGTGTATATAATGCTGTTTCCTCAAAAAATAGATACAGTAACTACTGTTAAAGGACCCAGATAAGCTGGGATGCGACAAAAAACATGGCACAAATGGATGGATGAATTTTTGGTATTAATGTTTCCGTTGAGAGCTTTTTACTGTATCTAGATGAACCCCTTAATATGTAATTTGTACATCACGGAAGAATTATAATTATCAAGCAGAAACCGATGTATTAAACAAGAATGTGGTTCAATACAGAAGTGAAGCTGGTCTCAGTCAACTTCCTTTGCGAATGAAATGTCTCACAAATTAGCATATCAACAAATGTAGTATCCACAAAATGGTATCATCATTTAGGAATGAACGCAATTTTTTTGCAACAGAAGCCAGGATTTATTTAAGGTGATTCCCTAGTTTTGCACTGCGCATCTCTTACTGCGAATAACAAGATGACCGCCGTAAAAAAGAGCATGTGAAGTAACATTATTAAAATGAAGTTGACTAAAGAAAAACGCTATTGGAATTTTTGCTTGCTGTTGTTTCTTGCCGAGGTGAGACTCAATGTGTTGGGAATGTGTATAACGTAAGCAGTACGCAAGTTGCTGAGTTCGACTTCCTCTCGGAGAACCTCGATAGTAGATGTTTAACTTGTGCTTACTCACTTTGATTTTCATTTAAACGCTTTCTTTATCACATTGTGTCCTAAATGTGATATCTCGATGCAAATTCTGTAAAAACGGAATGTTTAATACTTTCTTCCCCCTTTCACATACATTCTATTTTGAAACACGCCCCAGTCCTCTCTCAAAAATCGGAGAAAATGCATTTGGTGCACACCTTCTGCAACTCTACCGCAAAACGAGTACGCTGACCCCCATTTTTTATTTCGTGATTTTAATAAGGACAGTGCTTCCTTTCGATGGGAAAAAAATTGGCACAAATCTATGTTCAGTTTTTTGGCAGTTTTACCAAATTGTACGGATTGAGCTATCACGGGTCGAATAGCGCGTGTCCAATTTAATTCTACTTTGTAGCGTAAAGTAAAAACAAGGGCATTAAAAGGCATTTTTCTGGTGCGTAAGTGGATAAACAATACAATAAAGTCAAGTTCTGTGTAATACCACATACATCATCGAAAAAAACTCTCCTTTTTGTCTAGTTTTGGGCTGCCCGCGGTTTTTGTAAAAGGGTCCTAAATAGCCGTATTTGTCAGCATTGTGACGTCAAAACGAGCACGGTGACNTTTTTGTAAAAGGGTCCTAAATAGCCGTATTTGTCAGCATTGTGACGTCAAAACGAGCACGGTGACCCCCACTTTTTATTACTTTTTTATCATCTTCTTGACTTGTTACATCACTGTAGCAAGTGTCATCTACAATCTATGTTACGTTCTTTTACTAGGGAATCACCTTAAAAGGTGTATTGATAACGTTTCATTTCGTGCTATTTTGGGGTTGGGAAGTCAGGCTAGATTTTCTCTAAAACGCCAAAATGTTATATTTATTTGCATCATGAAATGTAAACAAACAGTAAACCCCTGTGAAAGGTTTGAACCCAGGAGTCATTTCAAAGGTAGGTTGAGTTTGATCGTCCGGGTGAACGTAGTCCTGAATAGGACTATGTTCTTACGACCTAACATTTCGCGCACATTTTTTGAGCAGAAGGAAAAGGTCAGTATGATAATTTTTTTTTTCTTTAAACAATTATCCTATAGATACGTAATTGTCAATAGTATAACTCTAAAATCGAAGTTAATATATTCAGGAATACAGTGGTTAATTAAGTGTCCATTCTGTCGTGCAATTGTTTTTCACCCTTTCGCTGGCTTGTTTATCTCGAAATCTTGCCTTTCTCCACACATTAAGTTAATGATTAATGAAACTAAGAATACTTCCGCGAATTAATGGCGCTTTGATGAAGGATGTGAAAAATTGCCTTCAGCAGTGATTTTAGCTTTCTTCAGCGGTACGTCTTCGTTGTTTTGAGAAATAAAATACACGCACTTTAACTATAAATTTAAATCAATATTATGATGCCGGTAAGATTGTGTTTTTGAAAATAAGAATATTCTATCATTTAGTTATACAAAGGAAAAATTAACAGCAATCGGTTTGAATTCTGGTTTTTTCCACCTTATTTTGATGGTACATTGTTTGAGTTTGATCGTCCGGGTGAACGTAGTCCTGAATAGGACTATTGTTGTTGACAGAGACTGACGTTTCGACAACCTGTGCGGTAGTCATCTTGTGAGTCAAAGTGAGTTGTATCACGTCAGTTGATGGTATTATACTCTGGTTATTGATCTGATTGGTCAATTACGTCGCGATGTTATTGGTCGTCTGTCAGTTAAGCCGTGATGTTATTGGCTATGAAGACTCGCAATCTGTAATTGGTGCGTTTCGATCCGTCTATCGTCACAGTTAACAGTCGTCTATTGTTGGTCAAATTGTCAGTTCTCCAGTCGTTCTCTCGTAGTTAGTTTTGCTTGATCTCGTCAATAAGTCGTTTGTACGGCGCTGGTAACTGTTGGCTACGATTCAGTGGCGTTTGTTCTAAGTTAGTAAACCAGCTTTCTAAAGTAAGACGTTGATAGTAGTCTGTAGAATACGTTATACATGTCGCAGAGTCCCAGTCCATTTGATGTTTTGTCTATAAATGGTGCTCAGCAAAGTGATTATTGACGTCACCATTCCTGGTCGCTCGTTTGTGTTCGGTCAGTCGCGTGCTTAGGTTTCTGCCGGTTTCACCAATGTAAGAAGCCTGGCAGTCGCAGCATTTGATCTTGTATACTGCTCCCTGTCTGTCCTCCGGAATGTCTTTGTCCTTGACATTAGTAAGCAGTCGCCGTAAAGTGGTTATCGGTTTGTGTGCAACACGTATATTGTAAGGTTGTAATATACGTTCAATAGTTTCAGAGGTGTCTCTGATGTACGGTATAGTCGCTGTCGTAACAGGGCCAGAGTTGGTCTGAGTGTTAGAATCAGTGTTACTGTGAGTGTTCCGTCTAACAAAGTCCGTGTTGTAATTGTTCTTACTAAAAACGTTGTTAAGATAATCAGTCTCGTCTTGTAGGCTGTCAGGTGAGTCGCAAACTAGTTGCGCTCGTCTCGTCAGAGTCCGGATAGTAGTAGCCTTGTGAGAGGTCGGGGTGTACGAAGACTGGTCTGGTAATCAGTCGGTACATGTATGTCTCGGTTTTCTGTAAATAGTCGTTTTTAGTTTGTTGTTGTCGCGAGTGACCAAGCAGTCTAGAAAAGGTATCTTACCATTTTCTTTGAACTTCTTGGTGAACTCTATGTCCTCGTTCTGTCTGTTAAGGTGTTCGTGAAAATCGTGGATTCCGTCTTTGTTTACGGCGGTGAATGTGTCGTCAACGTAACGTAACCAAAGAGGTCCACCCCCGATACCCTTGTCATTGTGTCTGGTCCTCGATGTTTTGCATGACAATTTCTGCTACAACAACAGAAACTGGAGAGCCCATAGCTGTACCGTGTAACTGTTTGTAGTGTTTGCCGTTGTACTGAAAGTACGTCGAAGTCAAACAGAGGTTGAGTAGGTCCACGATGTCGTCCGTAGGTAGTGGTAGTTCAACAGCAGAGTTCTTAATAGCGTTCTCAGTACAGTCTAAAGCCAGTTGAAGTGGAATACTGGTGAACAGCGATTTCACGTCGAAGCACACTAGTTTGTGGTCGTCCGGTAATGTCTTAATGGCGTTAATAAAGTTCTCAGTAGACTGTAGTTTGTGACTACATTCGTCAGTCAGCGGTTTCAGTACGTTAGTTAAGTATTTAGACAGTTGGTAGGTTGGGAACCCACAGAAAGAAACTGTGGGCCACATAGGTATGTTAGGTTTGTGTAGTTTTGGTAGTCCACACAGCTTGCGTGGCTGCGGAAAACTACACCTCAGTCTGTTGTAGCGTCGAAAGTCGATCTTGTCGGTTTTCTTCAGTGTAAGCAGTTTGTTGTTAAGTTTGCGTTGCAGTGCGGGTGTCGGGTCTCGTTTAAGTACTTCGTAGGTCTGTTGTCGAAACGTCAGTCACTGTCAACAACAATAGTCCTATTCAGGACTATGTTCACCCGGACGATCAAACTCAAACAAAGTACCATCAAAATAAGGTGGAAAAAATCAGAATTCAAACCGATTGCTGTAAATTTTTTCCTTTGTATAACTAAATGATAGAATATTCTTATTTTCAAAAACACAATCTTACCGGCATCATAATATTGATTTAAATTTATAGTTGAAGTGCGTGTATTTTATTTCTCAAAACAACAAAGACGTACCGCTGAAGAAAGCTAAAATTACTGCTGAAGGCAATTTTTCACATCCTTCATCAAAGCGCCATTAATTCGCGGAAGTATTCTTAGTTTCATTAATCGTTAACTTAATGTGTGGAGAAAGGCAAGATTTCGAGATAAACAAGCCAGCGAAAGGGTGAAAAACAATTTCACGACAGAATGGACACTTAATTAACCACTGTATTCCTGAATATATTAACTTCGATTTTAGAGTTATACTATTGACAATTAAGAATGTATAGGATAATTGTTTAAAGAAAAATTATCATACTGACCTTTTCCTCCTGCTCAAAAAATGTGCGCGAAATGTTAGGTCGTAAGAACATTCATCCGCCATCTTGTCCTCGATGTACTGTTTTACGAAAGGAAAGACTGTGCTCTCAAGGGCGACAGCGAGGCTACAATAAACTTACTTTCATCGTAGAAATACGTCGATACCATAACGATCACGTTCGTGGAATGTAGCACCCAATACACGTCAAATGCTGGTACTGAACGTAAACAATTCGCAGAAAATGCCTCTGTGGCACTTCAACAGCCCATATTGACGCATGCGCATACAGAATGCCCTCATGTTGGTTTTCGCTAGAGACGGAGTCGGAGTCGGAGTCGTAATCAGAATCGTAAAGCTTATGATCTAGTGAAAACAGCGTTCCGATTCCGCTTATTACTCCGTCGCTTACGTTCCGCGTATGATCTAGTGAAAACCAGATTGTCAGAGTCGGAAGCAGAAGCAGAAAAACTAAACCAATCACAAAGCGTGGGAACGTGCATTGTGATCGGTTTATCCTTCCGCTTCTGCTTCCGGCTCCGACAATCTGGTTTTCACTAGATCTTAGGCACAACGTAAGCGACGGAGTCGTAAGCGGAGTCGGAAGAAATGGAAGCGTTCTGATAGTCTTGTACTGTCGCAATTTGTAATAATCATCGCGCTTTGTAATACCTGTCGCAATTTGTAATAAATCCATTGCACTTTGTAATACCTGTAGCAATTTGTAATAGACCGTGTCGCACTTTGTAATAAAAAAGATGTCGGAATTTGTAGTAACAGTCCATCGCACTTTGTAATAAACTAAGCTTTCGCAATTTGTAATAATTCCATCGCACTTTGCAATAATTTTTTTGAGAGTGATTCGACTAACTTCGTCAACATTAATATAATGCCAAAATATGCACGGTACTTCATAAAGAAAGTGATGACGTCTGCTAGCACGTAACATCTCCGCTCATTCAAACATTTAACTTTATTCACAGTCCTAAAAATTTTTTTGAAATTAATGTTGAATAGTTATGTGACTTACGAAATGCTGTATTCTTAAACCTGTGCTATTGTACTAGGTGTTTTGCATTCAATGGTTACCCGGCGGGTGTACTTCCTTATATGGCCAATACGGGGATGTGCCTCTGGATACAGCATTGTCAGAGTACAGGATCTAGACACACTAGACACAAACGAGCCATTATTAAAAAGCATTTAATTTCCACAAATCGAAACATCCATCCTACTTCATTCGAATAAGGACACCAGGAAAGCTCAAGCTTTCCTGCTAGATCTTATAACAGGTCGACACAACACGTGATGCACCGTCCTTGTCTAACGCGCAATCTTAAAGAAGTAATAGTGGCTTCCATATTTTGGCCAACTTAATCAAACGAGGCCTCAAGATTCAAAATGTTTACTGCAAATAAACAAAAAACGTCACCAGTGGCAAACCGTCGAACCACAACAGAAACATGCCATAAACACAAGATCTAATTAGTTTCTGGCCAATACCTTCGCACGTATCTGTTTTTATAAAACTTACTTGGGGTCTTACACTGAGCGGGCTGGCCATTTGGTCCATTATTCTCACTTGATTTGGTCCCATATAGGAACAAAAGGAGTACTTATTCCATCTTAAAACAATTTTTTCTATATGGAGTCCGCTAAAGCAAATACCGTAGGCATAGTAAAAAATTATCCTTCAGTACGTATATACAACTCGTAAGACCTTGCAATTCTTCTTCAGGATTACTATTCTTTCCACAAAATGGAAAGGGTGGAATAAACCATCCATTACTACTTGAGTTACCCCATCTAAGGATCAAACCAAAGACACAAGGCCAACAAGGCAAAAAATGATACCCTATTAAAGGCTCGAGATCCTCAAAAGCAATACCCAGTCAGGCAGTACTTACCTATCTAGCCCATTAATTGTGATTCCCTTGATTTTTCTTTTCATGCAAACGGTGGGCAACCTTGATTTATAATTTCTTCAGTTATTGCTGCCGGGCATCAGCCGGCAGCACCCATATTATTGAGCGACTTGAGATTTTTTGGTTCGATGGTTCGATGGTTCGATGGTTCGATGGTTCGATGGTTCAATGGTTCCATGGTTCAATCAGCAAGGTGACCAATCAGCAAGTGCTTAGATGCCGCGCCTGTTTTTCTCTTCAGAGCAACCGCCATTTTGTTTTGTTCTCATGTGAGTTTAAGATTTGTGCAGAAGTTGTAGTACATCGGATGTTTGCTGTCTTTTTAAACAGCCTAAACGGTAAGAACAGTTCAAGAACTATTGTACGGGACATTTTTCCGGTTTTTTTTTAATGCTAGGTTTCAAGATTAGTTGTAGCGAGTATTTTTTGTCACACAGATTGTTATCTCGGAAATCAGGATTGTAAGTTGTGATCGGCGTGTACTGTACGTCTACCTGACCTGTGAATAAACAAGTTTTGGCCTTTAGTCTTCACGTTATTTGTTCGCAACTCTTCTCGTCATGTACACGATGATTGTCCGATGAAGAAACAGTCTATCAGCACTGCTGTTGTTAAAATGAATTACAAAATCATGTTGAAACTCTGGCGAGTCAGTATCTGAATGTAAACATATTTGTGATTGTGATCGGTTCATTTTTTGTATTTTACTCTGAGTGCATCATAATTCTATGTTATTGACTTTGAGAAAAGGATTCATATGTTTAACTGTTCTACATACTGTCTTTGTCCTATTCGCATCGCAACTCACGGCAGCACTTCCCTTCTCAATGAGAACTTCTAGTCTAAAATTTCTTATTTAAATCAACACCTGCCTGTTTCCAAAGTGAAAAGCGCAGTTCTAGATTCTTAGAGGGTCAGTAATAAGTGTTTTTTCTCTATTTTTTGGGTTTGGCTCTAATAACGATTCTGTTATATTACCACAGAATGCTGCACTTTAACATAAATTTCGTCACCCTTTAACTATCTCTAGAGGTCCCCAAGAATCCAAGAAGACAAGGACATCTAAATTCAAACACCTAATGCACAAAAATGTAAATTTGTTCAAGATTTAAATGTACGTAGGTGTTTTCCACATAAACAACGTGTAAGTTCTCACGCTTTGGCCTGTTCAGGAAGATAGCTTGAAATTAAGCCATCGTTTCACGATTTTTACTGGTCTTTTTACTGCTTGAAACATAGCGTTGGTCTCTCTAAGCTATAGCGCTAGGCAATAGCTTTCCGGTTTCAATCACCTACCTGCCTGTTTCCAAAGTGAGAAGCGCAGTTCTAGATTCTTAGAGGGTCTGTAATAAGTGATTTTTTCTCTATTTTTTGGGTTGCTGCAGGTGACGGGGAAATCGAAAGCGCAATATTAGGTGTTTGGCCTACGCAAGGTAAGTAATCAACTTTAAAACTGTTAGAGGGGGGTTTTAATCAAATGTACTTTGCCAGTCAATAGAACTCAATAAAAATTGACTGCGGCCGCTTTTTTGCCATTAGCGCCATTAACTCTAATTGTCTTTTTATAAATTCTATTTTAAATGTAAAACCATACGACAAACTTAAATGCAACCAGATTGACGTTTAAAATATTCGGTTGACGAACTGACATTTTATTTTACTCAAACGAACTCCCTTAAAGGTCAAGAGAATTCTGTGCACTGAGAAGAAAAAAAATGAATTTTACTGAACACTATAATCTTTCTTCTGAACGTAAATCTAAAAATTCTGAATGTTTTCGTGGTAGACAATCTTTCAATCGATAAGCCTTTCTCAGCAGTTGTAGTATTAAGAGAAAAGCCGCACAAATTGCAAAATACCCCACAGTTATCAATTTTCCTGTTAAACGTGGGTAG